AAAAAAAACAAACCTCTTGGATCTGGGTGTGTTCCAGAATTCAGAATATTTCACATTTTAGAAAACGTCACATGATTTATATACTATATATTATGTCACACCTCAGTGACATCCGGAGGGGTGATCCATAACCAAGTGCATTAATATTTCCTCCACACGGCATATGAGATAAAGTCTAAGCCACACTGCGGATTGCTTAGTGCTTACAGACAAGCACTCTGCTTTGGGGCTCCCGACTGGAACCTTGTATCGGCATTTGTCAGGGACACTAGGGGTGCTGACAAGCTAGGTCTCTCTGCACTTCTGGTTAAGATCACCACATCTGTGCAGCGCAGAAGCCTGTGAGAACACAGCAAAACACTCACGGTGCTGGTAGAACAGAAGAGATTCTTTAATTCACTCTGCATCTCTACCTAATGCGTAAATTTTTAAAAACAAGCATGTGGTACTTTTAGAATCAAAGAGAAAGGCTATTTTCATTTCACTTAAAAAATACGGGAGGGCTGGTGGCCCCAATGTCCATCGCCAGTAGCCAGCACAGGGCAGCCAGACTCGGCACCACATGCCGCTGGCACCATGGCCCTGGCCCTCTGCCTGTCCCCTAGGCCCAGCCCTCCAACCAGGCCCAGGGTGGGCATCATGGGTCTGTCCACGCTCTGGGCTCTTCTGGCTGCTCGCTGCGCCACCCCAGGTCATACCTCTGCTCCTTCCTGGACTCCAGATGCAGGAATCCACCTGCCCACCGCCCTCATCCACTCGACAGCCCAAAACAGCCCTCGAATCGGTGTGCCGGAGGCCAAGATCCCCCAACCTGCCCACTAGGCTTCTCCGTCTCAGAAACCAGCTCCATCCTTGTGGTCACTCAGGTCACAAGCCCGGAGCCCTGCGGGGGTCCACACTCTCCCACCCAGCGTTCCTTTAAACACCTGGGCGCCAATGCCCTCTGCAGCGTTACCTGGCCAACCACCGCCGCCACCTGGACACCACCTGCAAGGCCTCTACAGGCTCTCCCACCACCTCACCGTGCGCCATGGCACACTCACAACACAGCACCCACAGGGTCGGGAGGTCAGACCTTTGTCACTGCTGGTCACGGGCAGTTTCCACCGCCAGACACCCTCAGCTGACACCTGCATCTCCCTGGCCTCAGCTCCAAGGTCACCTTCCTGACTCGGCCGTGCAAACCAACCACGTTGATATCACGACCAGTTCACAACCCTTCCCAGCCTTCCTGTCCCATTTGTTACTTCTCCAACTGCCGTCATCTAAAACTGTGTCACTTGCTTACACCATCTTACTGTGTCTGTCCAAAGCACTGGAACAGCGGGCACACCACTCTAGGCCTCCGTGGCTGCCCGGGCCCTGAATACAGGCCTTTCTGGCCCTTGCTGCTTACATCCAATTAGGCAGAGCTCATTGCAGGGTCTCATTCTTGCTCTTGATTCCTTTACAAAGTTCCTGAGCCCCAGATCCAGATGCAGAATAGCTTCTGGAATGTGTCCATGAGTCTCTCCCAGGCACCTCAAACACACATGTGCAGAACTGAGCTCGGCACCCTCCCTCTAAATTCCTCCTTACCAACAAATGCCCTGAGGACCCACAGACAGCCAGACCACTCCCTCCCCTGTCCCTGGTGCAGCCAGTCCCTCTCCCTGCCCTCTCTCAGTCACGTGGTCGGACTGTGCCCACAGCCCTGCCTTCTTGAGGACTAGCCCTCCTGGACATCTTGCTTCAATCCCCATCCCACTCATCAACGATCTCTCTCTGACCCAAGAGGCACAAGCTATGTCCCTGGTCCAATCCTTTCAAGTCTATCACTGCTTCTAGCACAAAATTGGCCTCTGTGATGTGGCCTGGGAAGTCTGTCCCTCTCTATCTGTCCACACCCCTCCCTTCTCCCTTCCCTTCACATGCTGTGCCCCACCCACACTGACAGCACCTCCAAAGCTGAGCATCCTCCCTCCTCCCCATTCTGCCCAGGCTTCCACTCCCTAGGCCGGGAATACCTCTGCTTCCGCACCAGATGAACCCATTCATCTTCTGAAGCTGGGACACCAGGGGGCTCTGAGAGCAGCTGGAGCTGGCCCATCAGCCCCACCTCTTCCACCCTATCTTCCTAGCCTCCTCCCCACACACTCAGCCCACCACTGGGCCTGTGGACAAACCTCCAGGGAGGTCCCGAGGATAAGCAGCACATCTGCCATGGGGAAATCAACCACATGTAGCAAGAACCTCTGGGGCAGTGTCTCCCCAAAGAACACGATGTCGGGCTTCACGATGCCAGTGCAGACTGGACAGCGGGGGATCCTGTCCACCATCACTTCATCCTGTGTAACACAAATAGAAAATGAACCAAGGAAGATATCACAACACACTTTAAGAGATGGCTCTTGGAGTGCCTGGGTGGCTCCGTCGGTCGAGCGTCTGACTTCAGCTCAGGTCATGATCTCACAGT